TGAAACATTGACAATCCATACTTTGTTTTATCCCATGATCGTGAGTTCAGGAGTCTTGTGCTCCAGAACTCTGTCAGTTTGAATTTAGAAGTCCCAGAGTAGTTTGACATGTCCATTTTCCATAACTTTTTCTGGCTTGTGATCCCACCAGTTCTTTGTCTCAGGCAGATGGTCTTTGTGGCACAAGTTCCAATTAATCATCTGAGCAAGGGTGTTGTGCCTCTGCTTGTAGTCTGTCTGCGCAATCTTCTTGCAGCAGCTGAGGATGGGATCTATGGTTTCATCTGCTTCCTTGCAGAGTCTACATTTGGCATCTGTTGTTGACTTTTCAATTCTGGCTTGGATGACATTGGTTCTAATTGCCTGTTCTTGGGCTGTCAGAATCAGGCCCTCCGTCTCCTTTTTCCAAGTTCTATTTGAGAGCCACATCTGTCTTGTTGTTTCTTATACTACTACTACTACTACTACTAATAATAATAATAAACCTTTATTTATACCCCACTACCATCTCCCAGAGGACTCGGTGCAGCTAACAAGAGGCTGAGCCCAAATACATCAATAAAAACAACACAGCAATACAGACAATAAATAAACTCATAAACAAAGCAATAAACAATAACATTAACACCACAATGCATTAAAAACCTATGGCAGGGCCAAATGTAATGATTTAAATTTTAAAATACTGAGCATGACAAGGTGACATATAACTAGGATGGGTATTTGGAGAGAAATGGAGTGAGCAGACAATCCTAGATCATTAGTAAAGTGCGATTAGGGACATGCTGCTTAGGGTTCCTTATTCTGGGAAGGCACACTGGAACAACCACGTTTTCAGGCTCCTCTTAAAGACTGCCAGAGTTGGGGCATGTCTAATGTCCTTGGGGAGCGAGTTCCAGAGTCAAGGGGCCACCACCAAGAAGGCCCTATCCCTCGTCCCCATCAATCTTCTGCTCCTCCTCCTCCTCTTCTTCTTCCTAATATTATTTTCAATTTAATGTTATGTTTTGGGCCAGGTTCCCACTCCAAAGGGCATCCCTTGAGGACAATGATTCTGCCTGTGCCTTCAGGTCTCTTTGGGTGTCTCTTTGGGTGACCCATGGGTTTCCCATAGGTTTTCCTCAGGCAGGGGATCCATGGGAAAGGCTTTGCTGCCCCTTCCTCTGGAATACAGCCAGGGATGCCTATCTGGCCTCCCATCCAAGGCCCAACCAGGGCTGGCCCTGCTTAGCTTCCCAGACCAGACCTGGTGCCTTGAGGGGATGTAGGCCTGTTCTACAAATGCTTTTCTTAGGCAGGGATCCTCAGAGGAGGATTTGCCTCCCTATGAAAAAGAGCCTAAAGCCCCTAGGAGTCATTGACGGCCCCTCACCCAAGTCCCATCCAGGGCTGGCCCTGCTTAGCTTCCAGGATCCGGTGGGAAAGGGGGCCTTTTAGGGAATCTGGGCTGTATTCCAAGTTTGATCTGCATAATTTCTTAATCCATATACCATGTATGTACATGTGTATACACACGCATACACCCACACATATGCACATATTGTTGTGTTCTCTCCCGGCACACATCAGACAGGCGCCCTCCCTCATGTCCTTTCGAAAAAGCCTTAAGACCTGGCTGTTCGAGAGGGCATTTAATTAAGTGCAGCAACAACATTACGGTAATGAGAACTGGAATGGTATAAGGATGATGAGACTGGCCTATGATTCTACTAAGAGACGAAGCGGATTTTTATGTAGTTTTGTATTTGGTGTATAGTTATGTGTTGTGGATACTGGCCTTTGTAACTGTCTTTTTATGTGTACTGTACACCGCCATGAGTCGCCCGTAAGGGCTGAGAATGGCGGTTAATAAGTGCATCAAATAAATAAATAAATATGTAGAGCAGATTACTTTAATTAAAGGTAGTATCACTGAATGCTCCCTGTCTTCTCTTTCATGGCACAGGAGAGAAAAACAGGGGATTGCATAAGAATGAGGACAAGGTGATGAAACTGGAGACATTTGATCTTGAAGCTTAATCCATGCTATGAGACTTCATCTTGTTGACGGGAAGCTTCCCACCGGAGTGGAAATAATCTCTTGGACAGATGGCAAGCTATTGAACCTCAGCACACCGAAAGCCAAAACCAAAGTTACAACAGCATGTATTATAGAACTCCAATATGCTGATGACACCGTCGTCTGTGCACATTCAGAAGAAGACCTACAAGCCACTCTAAACACCTTCACAGAAGCATACGAGAAGCTTGGCCTGTCATTGAACATTGAGAAAACCAAAGTGCTCTTCCAGCAGTCACCAGCCAATCCCTCTCCAATGCCAGAAATACAGCTTAATGGTGTAACATTAGAAAATATGGACCATTTCTGCTCCCTTGGCAGCCACCTCTCCACCAAAGCCAACATTGACACTGAAACACAACACCGCCTGAGGTCTGCGAGTGCAGCATTCTTCCGAATGAAGCAGAGAGTGTTTGAGGACCGGGACATCTATAGGGAGACCAAGGTGCTTGTTTATAAAGCTATTGTCCTCCCAATCCTGCTATATGCCTGCGAAACGTGGACTGTGTGCAGTATTCTTTTGAATGAAGCAGAGAGTGTTTGAGGACTGGGACATCCGTAGGGATACCAAGGTGCTTGTCTATAAAGCTATTGTCCTCCCAACCCTGCTATACGCCTGCGAAACGTGGACTGTCTACAGACGTCACATGCAACTCCTGGAATGATTCCATCAGTGCTACCTTCAAAAAACCCTGCAAATCTCTTGGGAAGACAAAGCGTACAAATGTCAACGTGCTGGAAGAAGCAAAGACCACCAGCACTGAAGTGATGGACATCTGCCCACAACTCCACTGGACCGGCCACGTTGTCCAAATGCCCGACCACCGTCTCCAAACGCAGTTGCTCTACTCCAAACTCAAAAATGGAAAACGGAATGTTGGTGGACAGGAAAAGAGATTTAAAGATGGGCTCAAAGCCAACCTTAAAAACTCTGGCATAGACACTGAGAACTGGGAAGCCCTGGCCCTTGAGCTGGAGGTCAGCTGTGACCAGCAGTGCTGCAGAATTTGAGGAGGCACAAGTGGAGGGTGAAAGAGAGAAATGTGCCAGGAGGAAGGCGCGTCAAGCCAACCCCGACCGGGACCGCCTTCCACCTGGAAACCAATGCCTTCACTGTGGGAGAAGATGCGGGTCAAGAATAGGGCTCCAAAGTCACCAAGGTACCCACCACCAGGACACTGAACTTGGAAGACAATCTTACTCGGACAAGGAGGGATCGCCTAAGTAAGTACATAAGCAATCCAGGCAAGAGAGTGGGAAGGCAGACCAGGGAACCGGGATCTCTGAAGACACAGGTCCACAGTTTGGGGCCCTCCTGGACTCGGCACTGAACTGGAGGCCCGGGGAAGAAGGCACGAGTTTGCCACCTAATGGCAGCTCAGATAAAGAAGCCAGCCTTCAATTTTAGGCTCAGTGCTGCCTGCCTGGGAAATGGGATCACTTAGCTTCCCTTCCTCTGTCAGGGATGCTTTTTCCTGTAGGGTAGAATGGGGTTGCATTGGATGGCCCATGCAGTCTCTTCTAACTCTATTATTATTATTATTATTGAGGCTGGATGGCCATCTGTCAGGGATGCTTTGATTGTGCTTTTCCTGCATGGCAGAATGGGGTTGGACTGGAGGATGGCCCAGGGGGTTATCTCTGGTGTAGATAGAATCATAGAATCAAAGAGTTGGAAGAGACCTCATGGGCCATCCAGTCCAAACCCCTGCCAAGAAGCAGGAAAATTGCATTCAAAGCACCCCTGACAGATGGCCATCCAGCCTCTGTTTAAAAGCTTCCAAAGAAGGAGCCTCCACCACACTCCGGGGCAGAGAGTTCCACTGCTGAACGGCTCTCACAGTCAGGAAGTTCTTCCTCATGTTCAGATGGAATCTCCCCTCTTGTAGTTTGAAGCCATTGTTCCCGCGTCCTAGTCTCCAGGGAAGCAGAAAACAAGCTTGCTCCCTCCTCCTGTGGCTTCCTCTCACATATTTATACATGGCTATCATATCTCCTCTCAGCCTTCTCTTCTTCAGGCTAAACATGCCCAGCTCCTTAAGCCGCTCCTCATAGGGCTTGTTCTCCAGACCCTTGATCATTTTAGTCGCCCTCATCTGGACACATTCCAGCTTGTCAATATCTCTCTTGAATTGTGGTGCCCAGAATTGGACACAATATTCCAGGTGTTGGTCTAACCAAAACAGTGTCTTTTCTTTGAAGTCACAACAAGAGACCACCAGAATGGGTTGGACAGATAGTAGTCAATCTGTCGGGAGCACAAACCACCGACACACACCTCTCCAGCCATGCACCAGGAGCCGCCCGCTACAGCGCACCGGCGTTCGGCGCTCGCTTCAGCCTACTGACGCTTTTCTTCCAGCTCTAGGAGCCTATGAGCGTGGCCTACTTTGAGTTCAGCAGTGGCCAAAGAGACACTGCAGCAAAGCGGCACCGCGCATGCGCCCCTCCTCCGCCTCCTCCCTCCCTCCCCCGCCCATTGGCGCATGCGCCTCCGCCTCGTCTCCCTCTCGCGTGCTCCTTCCCGTGGCGCATGCGCGCAGGGCACCGAGAGTCGGGAGGGGCGCGCCTGCGCAGTGGGACTCTCCGGGCGTCGCGGGAGCCATGCTGACTTTGCCCCAAAGAGGCGCCTCGGCGGGGGAGGAGGACCGACCCCCCCTCAAAATTGCCTCGGCTTTGGTTTCCAGCGGGATTTCCGTCGCCGGCGCGGGATTCCTTCGTTTCCTGAGGCGGAAAAGGATCAGGCCGCGGAGGGAGGAGGAGGGGGAGGAGCCCCCCTCACAAAGTCACCATCCGGGCTTTTCCCCCCTCAGGGTCACGTGCCGGACGGGAGCCAATGGGAGCGCCGCGACGTCCATGTTGCCTCGGTTACCCGCCTTGGTCCTGCCGCGCCTGCTTTGGATTGAAACAACAACAAGATTTTAATATAGATACTTAAAATTATTATTTTTCTACAATTTTTTTTTTCAAAACTTCGACGCCTGACTCGGAAGAAGCCCAAGATGGAAGCTCTCGGCCGGGCGGCCAATGGGGTGAGCCCCTGGCGGGCACGTGACCTCCCCGGATGGTCCTGTCCGTCAAGCCTTTCTTCCCGCCTCCTCGACAGCCCGCGGGCCAATCAGGGGCCGGGACGGGCGGCGGCCTCTTAAAGGGCCAGCTGCCGTTACGTAAAGGGGGAAGTTGGCTGTCACGTGGCACCTGACCAAGGGGCCCCCTTTTTTTTTCCGAGGGGGGAGGAGGAGCGTCTCCGAAGAAGGGGGGCCCGCCCGCGCCCCCCCGCCGCCGCTCCCTGCCACCGTCTCCAGGATATGCCCCCCTTGTGTCCTAAAGCTGCAGGGACGGAGGAGGAAGACATGCCCCCCAGGAAGAAGAAGAAGGCTGGGGGTAAAGTCACACATTCTTCCTTGGCTATTTTGGGGGGGGGGGGAGAAGGGAGGGGTCTTTTGCGTCGTTTAGCATTGCTTTATGAGGTTTTTTTGAGGGGAGGGGGAGAAACATGGCGCCTCTTTCGAAATGGGGAGGGGGTGGGTGGGGGGGTTCCAGCTTTGTTGTGCCCCAAAGCAAGACCTTTGACCTCTCAGGACACAAAGGGGATTTGGGGTCAGGATGGGGCCAGCTCTTCTCTTTGTGTGTGTGTGTGCCTTGACTATGGGTTTGCAGCTTCATTGGGGGGCCATTTTGGGATGTTGTGTGTTTACTGTGCTTCTCTCCCTCCCTGTTTCCTATTTTCTCCTTCTCCAAGATGGACTCCACTGCTGTTCATTGGGAGTGCATACAGTTGGTGTGTGTGTGTGGAGAGGGAGGTTGTGCTTCACTGTGTGCTTCTCTCCCTCCCCTTTTCCCTTTGTCCTTCCTTCCCCCCCCCTTTTTTTTTCCAAGATGGAGGCCACTGCTGTGTCATTGCTGGAGGAGGAGGAGGCGCCCGGCCTGGGATTATTACAGAGGAGGAGGAGGAAGCTGGGCACAAAGGCACCCAGCCGCCTACCCTCCACCCTGGAGGGGCCTCCACTTCCTCTTTCGGCCCCCTTTATCCCCCTTTTGTGTGTTTTGGCAGCTGTCTGGGACAGCCAGCCAACTTTTCCCCCCTGTTTTGTGTTTTCCAAAATGGCTGCACCACGGTTGCGGCATGGAGCTTTCTCCCGCTTCTCCGCCTTTGTCAACAGGCAAAGCACTCTCTCCTCCTTTCATTCAGTGAGAAAGAAAGCAAGCAAGAAAGAGAAAAACCAGCCCCCCCATGCCAGGATGTGACTCACCGCAGCACCAGAGGCAGCCAGAACAATCTGGTCGCCTGTTTCCAAGGGGAAGCCATGCCTAAGAAAGGCATGGAAGGACAGAAGGAAGGGGGTTTCCTTCCCTTGCTTCACCTTGGGAGAGCCCTAATAATAATAATAATAATAATAATAATAATAATAACAACACCACTTTATTTGTTATCCCAAGGGACTCGGTGCGGCTTACATGAGGCCAAGCCCAAATACAAGAATACAAGAAGAATTGTTTTTTTCTGGGAGGCATGCCTACCACTGGCGTGTCTCCCTACCATAATAATAATAATAACAACAATAATAACAATAACAATATATTTATATACCATTCTATCTCCCGGGGGGACTCAGAGCGGTTTCTAAGTAAAATCATCAAAACATACAAAGTAAACAACCATAAGATTAACAAAACAATGTAAGCATAAAAATTGTTGCCATAATATATATATAAAAGTAATCCTGCCATTATAATAATGGTATAGTACAACATAGTAATATATAGTACTGATATTGTGCTATGATAATAATATAATGTATTGTATGGATATATATCTTGTAAGCTATTCTTGAGTCCCCTTTGGGGTGAGAAGGGCTGCATATAAATGTCGAAAATAAAAATTAATTAATTAATTAATTAATAATATATTGTATGTATATATATCTTGTAAGCCGCTCTGAGTCCCCTTTGGGGTGAGAAGGGCAGCATATACATGTTGAAAATTAATTAATTAACGTGGAGGAAGACATACACACACACACACCCCAAGTTCCTGGTTTGGATGGCCCTTGGGGTCCCTCCCAACTTAGTCCCTGTAATAAACAGACCCTGCACCCACACTCCAAAAGAATAATATAATAATGCTTTATTTACAGGCTGCCCTATCTCCCCAAGGTAGCTGTACCAGTCTTACAGAGTAGGTGCTGGGAATGCTGGCATGGGCACTGTTCTATCATTTTAAGAAAGGCATGGAAGGACAGAAGGAAGGGGGTTTCCTTCCCTTGCTTCGCCTCGAGGGGAGCCCCGAGAAGAATCACTTTTTGTGGGTGGGGGGCATGCTTAACACTAACATTAACGCAGAGAGAGAGACCCCTCTACACACACACCAAATTCGTGGCCTAGGTGGCCCTTGGGGTCCCTCCCAACTAAGCAGCAAGGACAAGATCCTGTAATAAATAGACCCTGCACCAACACCCTAAAAGAGTAATACTTTATAGGCTGCCCTATCTCCCCTGTCTTAAATAGGAGGTGGCATGGACACAGTTCTATAATTTTAAATAGGAAGGACAATATCCTCCTCGTTGGCCCCGTTTCTCCTCCCAAAAGAAGCTAGATTTTGTCTCAAACATGGCAAGGGGGTTCCTAGTTGTGGCAGCCCCGTCGGAGGGCTCCAGAATGGTTGCCCTTTGGGGTTGGGGTGCGGCCCTGCCCTCCTGCCACCCAGGAAGGGGCCTGGCCTCTTTCGGAAGGGAGGAGGAAGTGGAGGAGCAGCCGGCCGGCAGATCACAGGGACTCCAGTTTGGGGGAAAATGAGGATGAAGGGAAGGCCTGGCAGTGCCCCTTTCTCCTCCCACTTGGTTCTGCAGGAGTCCTGCTTTTTAGCTGCCCTTTGGGTCTTGTTTTATAATGATAATGATAATAATAATAATAATAATAATATAGTCCTAGACGCTTGGGAAGTGTTCGACTTGTGATTTTGTGATACGAAATCCAGCATATTGATCTCGTTTGCTGTGTTTTTGTGTCAGTAAAATAATAACAATAATATAACAGCCAGCAGAGTGACCTTGTTTCTGTGTACTAATCTTTTTTATGTTTCAAGTAATAATATAATAATAATGTGTAGGGAGGCAGGGCATTGTGTGCTGGTCAAAGGAGACAGCTTTGAAGCCGACCTCTGGTCTGAGTCTTGGGCATGTCGTGAACTTAGGGGGGCTCCACTCTCTGCGGCATTTCCTCCTGACCTTTTCCCCTTTCACCCCTGGCCTGAGTGTTGGACATATGGCGTGGACTGAGGGGGGCTCCATTCTCTGTGGCATTTCTTCCTGACCCTTTCTCCCCCATTCTCCCCCTTTTCCTTGGACCAAAGCAGTGCTGAGTCACAAGAGCACCCCGGAAGGAACCGCTGCATTGGTCCTTGGCCTGGGTTGTTGTAGGTTTTTTCGGGCTATATGGCCATGGTCTAGAGGCATTCTCTCCTTGGCCTGGCATCTCTGGGGCCGGTCATTTATGGAAGGCTTTCCTGGCTGGAATCGCTGGGCTGTCTGGCTATGTTGCAGAAGCATTCTCTCCTGACCTTTCGTCCACATGTATAACAGGCATCCTTGTTTATATCCTGCCCCTTTTTCCTGAAGGGTCCTGAGTCTGTTGTGGAAGGCTTTCAAGGCTGGATTGTTGTGAGTTTCCCAGGCTGCCTGGCTATGTTGCAGAAGCATTCTCTCCTGACCTTTTGCCCACATGTATGGCAGGCGTCCTTGTTTACATCCTGCCCCTTTTTCCTGAAGGCTCCTGAGTCTTTTGTGGAAGGCTTTCAAGGCTGGGTTGTTGTGAGTTTCCCAGGCTGCCTGGCTATGTTGCAGAAGCATTCTCTCCTGACCTTTCGTCCACATGTATGGCAGGCATCCTTGTTTATATCCTGCCCCTTTTGTGGAAGGCTTTCAAGGCTGGGTTGTTGTGAGTTTCCCAGGCTGCCTGGCTATGCTGCAGAAGCATTCTCTCCTGACCTTTTTCCTGCATCTATGGCAAACGTCCTTGTTTACATCCCGGCTCCTTTTCCCTGAAGGTCCCTGAGAGGGCCACGCTTTTGGCTCAGGGGGCATTTGGTGGCCCTCCTTCGTGGCCTGGTCTGGGCTCCATGCCCCCCCTTGGCGTGGCTGGTGTGCCAGGGCCACGTGCTGCGAGAGAGGCGGAAGCGGCGCCTCCTGGCCTGCCTTGAGCCCCTCCCTGGCGCAGGCCTTGCATGTAAACACCCTCCTAGGGACATTTTTCTTGAAGGTCCCGGAGGGGGCCACGCTTTTGGCTCAGCAGGCATTTGGTGGCCCTCCTTCGTGGCCTGGTCTGGCCTCCATGCCGGGCTTTCCTGCCAGGGGTGCTGGTGTGAAGGGGTGACGCGTGTCAGGCCTGTTTCCCCGGGTGTGTGCGTGTTTGTGGGGCGGTGGGGTGCCCGTCCTGCCGGGGTTCCCCGGCTGGGAGCGGGAAGGCGTTTTTGGCGGGAATCGGGCGCGGAGGGAGCGCTCATTGTTCGCTGCTGGCCCTGCTTTCCCTGGCCACAAAATGGCGCCCGCCCCCTCTTCCTCCTCCGCCCCCCCCGCCACAAAAACAACCAACGGCTGCCTCTCTGCTTTGGCCCCGCCCCCCGCGTGACGTGGCGTCCAATCGCGAGGCAACGAATGGCAAGGCGGGGGAAGAGGGGGGACGGTGACCGACGGAGATGGTGCCCAATCGGCATCCGGCGTTGGGCTTGGTCCCGCCTACGAGCCGGCAAAGGGGCGTGCCCGGGCGGAGCGGTGACGTCAGCGTCCGCTTTGGCCAATGGGAGCGCGCGGAGCGGCTATATAAGGGCGGACGAGGGCAGGCCGAGAGGCGCCATTTCGCTGGAGCGGAGGAAGGATTCCGGCCTGAGAGAGAGGGAGCCAGCCAGACAGAGAGTGCGCGCGCATCTGCCTGCCTGAGGGAGGGAGGAAGGAGGAGGAGGAGGTGGGCGGACTCAATCCGGAGCCGTCCTCGCGCCTCGTCGGGCCCTCCTCCCGGCTTCCGTAGCGGTTTTGTTGACCTCCCTTTTCTCAGTCAGTCAGTCAGAGAGAGGCGCCGCCGCCTCTCCGTCCCAATCCAGTGCCATCCGCACCTCGGACCCGGGCGGCGCCACTCAGGACCGGCTTCCCCTGACGCGGCGGGCTCCCGGGAAGGCGGCGAGCCCGGTATTGGCGGCGCCGGCGCTGGGCGGAGCTCCCGGGGCTTCCGGAAAGGGCCCCCCCCCTCCGGCTCGCGAAAAGGCCGCCATTTTCTGAGCGCCGATTGGGCCTCCGAGGGATGCGCCGGCCGTGAGCCGGGAGGGCCCCGCTCGCAGGCCTGGTTCTCCGCCCCGGAGCAAAGTGGGGGGGCCCAGCCGGGAGAGCGCCCCG